ATGAATTATTTGTTGTATTGCGGAACAGAATCTTGAAAAAGCTAATTGTTTATTCACTTCTTTTGTTCCACAAATCACTTATGATTTCTGAATAAAACAATAACAACATACAGCCACTGTCCTGCTCTTATTATTTGGTCTCATCAATGTAACAGTCTTTGGTCCTTATTCATATCTTAATATTTGTAAGTAATATGCAATTTGGAAAGAGAAGGCTTGCAAATGTATTTTGGAGGAATATATCCATGTCCAAGCCAACATTTTAGGCGAGTCTATTTCAAATGCACAATGTCATCCCACTCTGCATTTACTAATTCATTTCTTTCTTAAAGGGGTCATATGATGTTGCTAAAAAGAATATTATTTTGTGTATTTGGTGTAATGCAATGTGTTTATGCGGTTTAAGGTTAAAAAAACAAATTTTCCTCATACTGTACATTATTTTTTATCCTCTATGCCCCGCCTTTCTGAAACGCGTCGATTTTTACAAAGCTCATCGTTCTGAAAAGTAAGGTGTGCTCTGATTGGCCAGCTATCCAGTGCATTGTGATTGGCTGAATACCTCAAGCGTGTGACGGAAATGTTACACCCCTACCATACTGTGTTTCCATGCAATGAGACAAAACCAATAAAACCCATTACAAAAGAGGCATTTGTTGCATCCAGTGGGGACATAATTACTGATTATAATGACTTATACTGTGTTCTTACGCTTTGTGTTGCGTATTGCGCAGAGTAAACATAAAACCATGTCTGCATTTGTGATCGGAGAAATGACAAACAACAAACGCTACTCTACACTGCTCAAACTCGCGTTTGAATCGTCAGTGGCAAATTCTTTAAATATAAAAAACGTACTTACAGGCTGTGAGTCAGAAGCGCCAGACTGTCCTTGCAAAGTTGGAACTGCCCCACTTTATAGAAACATTATGTCCTCTTTTGGAAGGCCAAACAAAGTAGTTTCGCTTTCACAACGAAACACACAGCGGCTTGAGTGAGCGGTGCCCGGCGGATTCGACGAAGGAGGCTTGCGACAACCACATGTGACGACCCCGGTCCACAGTGAAAGCCGATCTGGTGATTGACAGCGCAAAGTTGATGTATTTCCTCAGCAACCAGCATGGATCAGCTCTAGACATGACGAAGCGGATATCGTCCTCTTTTGGAAGGCCAAACAAAGTACTTTGTAAATTATTATTTGAAGCGATTTGAAGTATCAAAACCATGGTTAATTTGTGGTTACCATGTTTTTTTTTATTAGTATTATTTTATTATTATATATTGAACATAAAAGAAGATATTTTGAAGATTGCTGGTAATCAAACAGTTGGTGGTTGCCATTGACTTTCATAGTATTTTTTCCCCCTACTATGGAAGTCAATGGCAACCACCAACTGTTTGATTACCAGCAATCTTCAAAATATCTTCTTTTATGTTCAACATAAGAAAGCAACTCATACAGGTTTGGAACGACATGAGGGTGAGGAAATGATGACAGAATTTTCATTTTTGGGTGAACTATCCCTTTAAAAAACACTAGGCCTATACAAGTGTAGCACTATACCAACATTAAAACACGTTATTAACGTCAAAATCCCAAAAAGTTTCACAGGATTATGAACGTACCTAAAAGTGATGCACAGGCTTCATCTTGGGCTTTTTTTCTTGTTTTTATCTCGGCGCCGGACTACTGATGTCTTTTCCCGGGCATAGTTGTCCATCAGTTATGATCATTTGCAGTAAACCACAAACATGAGGCGGGCCCGGATGCGGGAATGGCACATCACGTGTGCTTTACCTGTCTACTGCGTTCACCGTAAAACGCATTTTTTATAACTATGTATATATGTTCATGTTTATATATTTATTTATGTATATGTATATGTTAATATTAATATAGAACAAAAGTGTTTTTTTTTTTTGAGCAACTGGGATGGTGCCCCCCTGGGAGTTGGTGCCCTACGCAAATTGCGTACTCTGCGTATAGGGAGTACTGGATGGTGAAATACTGGACAGAGCATTTAATGAGACAATAACAATAATATATTTGGTGGATGAGGATGAATATTGCGTTAACGGAATACACTAAGTTTCTACCATTGTATCCTACAGGCAGTCACCTGAACTAGAGGTAAAACATATTTGGGCCTGCCTTGAATTGTTGGCATAAATATATGACTTGAGCAAAGGCTGAGGAAAATAGTAGACTATGTCACATGATTGAGTTATGCCTCAGCATTTATGGAGAACGTGTTTGGGGTGATAGTTCTGTCTGTTGCCAGGAGGCAATTTATCTCCTGATAAAGGAGAGGCAAAGATAGAGCATTGAGGAATTAACTCTCAAAGGCCCATAACAAAATAAAATACTTGTTGAAATTTATTATTATTATTATTTTTATAACTAAAGAAGGGAACACATAGCTGACACTCACAACACCTTGCTATGATTACAGTTTACGGACACTATTTTTACAATTTTGAACTAACAACTTTTCAAGTAAATATTTGGTCATGCAGTATGTTTAGTGATTGAAAAAGAATATAACTCAAAGTTTTATAGAAAAATGCAACAGTGGGCTTTTGTTGTTAACACTGCACTATAGATTGGAGCCTATTCAGTAAACCACAGAAAACTCCAAATTATTTTTTTCAGCCAGTTTTATGATTCTACAATATTCCTACACATCACTGATCCCTTAAGGATGTAACATACCTGAAAATGCATATTTAGAAGCTGATGTGCTGCACTGACCTTTAAAGCCCTTCCCAGTAAGATAGAACGATGAGAATCATTGCAGAGCAACCCTGTGACACTCTCTAAAGTTTAATTATGTCAGAAGGTTGCTATGTGATTAAAATACTATAGTTTCAGCCTTCAAACTTATTGCAAAGACTTTTGTGAAGGCCAAAGCACTGGAGTCCTCTAAATTTGCATTTTGCAGGTGGTCAGTGAAGTGTATACTAAATGTTCATAAAAATAGGAGGTAGTAAGCCTACTCTGTCAATAAGAGGATTTTTTCTGCATTGATATTTGTGCTTTACAGTATTTTGAATTGCATTGTGTTGCATTTTAAGGTTAAAAGATAAGTTTGTAAACTTAACAGATAATTTCCAATTTCCGTTTTCCTACGGATTTTTTTATTTTATTTTATTTATTTATTTTTCATAAGGTTCAGCCACAAGCAAAAATGTCAGTGAAATTTACCAAGACAAAAAAGTTCCATTGTCCATTACTTTTGCAGCGATATATGAAGCTTTATGTTAATTTGAAACCAAGCAGTTTTCTTTTGGTAAATTCTGGTGACCAACACAATGTGTAATATGTGTGAGGAAAATCTTCCGCACTCATGCTACATTTCCGATCGCGTAGGTTCTCCTTTTAAAATGGCTATTTCACCTGCGAATATAAATGACATGTGACCGCACCTTTAAAGAGTAGTAGTATTTCTGCATTGTCCAGTATTTAAAGGGGTCATATGATGTTGCTAAAAAGAACATTATTTAGTGTATTTGGTGTAATGAAATGTGTTTATGCGGTTTAAGGGTAAAAAAACCCACATTATTTTCCACATGCTGTACATTATATTTCTCCTCTATGCATGTATGATTTTTACAAAGCTCATCGGTCTGAAAAGCGAGGTGTGCTTTGATTGGCCAGCTATCCAGAGTGTTGTGATTGGCCGAATACCTCAAGCGTGTGACGGAAATGTTATGCCCCTTACCATATTGTGATGCCCTGTCCAGCCAGAGCGACGAGACAAAAACATTAAAACCCATTATAAACAGGCATTTGTCGCATCCAGTGGGGACATAATTACGGATTATAATGACTTATACTGTCTTTTTACGCTGCATCACGTTTTACATTGCATCGTGCCGCGTAAACATAAAACCATGTCTGCATTTGTGATCGGAGAAATGACAAACAACAAGTGCTACCCTACACTGCTCAAAACTTGCGTTTGAATCGTCAATGGCAAATTCTTTAAATATAAAAAACGTACTTACAGTCTGTGAGTCAGAACAGCCGGCATTGTAGTCTACTCTCCCAGGATCAGGAAACAGTCCTCCATAAAATGTGCTGGACACATCTGAATATTTGGGTTGAACTGTTCTGGAACAGTGTTGTAAATACAACTTAACCACTGATTTCTAGTCGTGTCCTCTTTTGGAAGACCAAACAAAGTAGTTTCGCTTTCACAACTGAAAGGAGTGAAATTATTTCCTTATAAAATAAATTATTCGTGAAGCCAAACACTCTCGCAATGCAAATGCCATGCCACAAAACACTGGGCTTTGATCTCCTCGTAAAGCCAAACACTCAGAAACAATGGGCTTTGATCAAGATCTGGAAGAAAGACCATCTGCTCTTCAGTCCCTTCACCCATCCTTCCCCCCTGGGCACATGGTCCAGGTCACTAAAAGTTGACAGAGAAATGCCAAGAACTCTCACATAAAACATTTACTATATCTTCAGGACTCATGATCGTAAACTTTTCATGTTTGGTGTCATTTTAAAGGTCTTTGTGCAATTGGTAAATTGGTTTTGGAGGATTTGACGAAGGAGCGTCAGGCAGGCTTGCGGCAACCACATGTGACGCCCCCGGACTGGACTCCGCTTATCCACGTTGAAAGCCGATCTGGGAAAAAAAATTGAAATCGCATCATATGACCCCTTTAAGAAACATCCTACTCGTCTTGTGAAGGCATTGTTTTCCAAAACTCACTCCAAAACAAAACATGTTTAAAAATAATGTTTTTTGGCTGCCTGAAATCACTTTCAATGAGGTAAAATGAAAAAAAAATTATGTAAATGCTTCGTTTCTGAAGGCTTTGTAATGAATGAGGGAACTGAGTCTTGGCCATTGAGGAATGTAGCAACACTGAGATCTCCACACTGTCAGGATGCGCGCACATTTATAAATAAATAAATCTGCTGTCTCTGGCTCGCGTTCGCTGGAGCTGACCGTGGTGCTGATCGCCGCACGCTCGCTCAAGATCAACACTGACATGCTCGAGCGTCAGTATCTGAACACCTCCGACACTGAACTTGAGGCTCCCTCACAACCTTCAGTTTAGGAGGAAATCCTAAAATAATCGAGCATGAATCTGAAGTGAGACGGAAGCGTTTTGGAAGTCGAAGGAAAGTCAGTATTAAACCTGATGTTGACATGGACCTTCCGGCACGTGTTTTAATAGGATTTGCGAACATGATGTCCATCGTGAGATTTTTACTGTACTTTATTTAAGATGTGTGTTATTTGAATGAATTTATATTCATAAGGTTGCTATAAACATACCCGTTTAGAAGCAAAAGAAGATAACTTCATCTTTTTGGATTCTTGGACATTCGAAGTGGAGATATGGCTCGCGTTCTTGTCTTTGTTAACTCAGTCGGACTGTTGCTCTTCGGTAGTGAAATGTTTCTGGTGGGAGCAAGTAAGTTTATTTGTCTGATAATCAGTGTTCTGTCTTGTATTGAATGGATCCACGTGAGCTTCTGTTAATGAGATGAACTGAACCTTGCTTGGATGCAAAAATCATGTCATGCAATAGGTTACATCAAAATCAGGATTTTTAAATTCTGAACGACAGGTACTTAAATAACCTCCAGTATGTTGAACAGTTTTAATATAGCAAAGACGTGTGTTAAAATGCTGACTAAATTGCTCAAATGCTTTGACTGGTTAAGAGGTTAGCAGAGACTAACATGGGCTAAGAATTTAATTTTTATCATTGGTTTTTGGATTTTTGACATTCAGTTGAACACTGGACTCAATTCAAATAGTATGAATTCTCAGCCTATTCTTGGCAAGTGGTTGTTCTTTCACTATAAGTTTTATAGTGGTTATGCAGTATATTACAAATAAATGAGTTTAATTAGTTTGTTAAAATATTAGTTTGATTATAAAATATAAAATTAATAATAAAACTATCATAAAAAATTGGCCTACATAATGCTGGTCAGATTAAACAACAATTAACCATTCAGCTGCAGTTGTTTTCTACAATATATTGCATTGGATAGAAGATTACATAAAGTTCATTGTGTATAACAGAAAATGTAACAGCAAGAAATAACCATTAACATTCATGTATTTTGATAAACACTTTTATCCAAAGCATTTTATGTTGCATTCATTGTATACATTTTAGAAGTTTATGCATTTCCTGCAAATCGAACCCATGACTTTGCCGTTGCTAGCACCATGCTTTACAGTTTGAGCTACAGGAATACTTGAACCTTGTAAAATCCTGGCAACAGATTTTTCTTGTATCCTTCTTGAATATTTTGGGGGGAATTAGTGAATTTTCATGCATGGCATGAAGGTGTGGAAGCATCTCAGGAAAATACTTTCCTGTATTGTTCTGATCCTTTCCCTTTTTTCCTGATTGAGTCATCTGGGATTTTGTGGCAGCTTTGATAAGGCAGCAGTTGGCACTTCTGTTCTCACAAGCACAGCGTTTCTGTCTGAAATATGAACACTTCCAGTGCTGAAAGTTGCTTCTCGGAAACCAGGACAAACCAGCAAAATCGCTCTTGATTAAAGGAATGGTTTACAAAAAAATGAAAATCTGCTGAAAATGTAGTCATCCTCAAGCCATCCAAGATGTAGATGAGTTTCATCATCGGAACAGATTTGGAGAAATTTTGCATTATATAGCTTGCTCACCAATGGATCCTTTGCAGTGAATGAGAATTCAAGCAGTCCAATAAGACATCACAATAATCCATCATCCACAGTCCATCATTTATTGTTAAACGCTGTGTCTATGTAATATACAAAACCATCAAGACAATTTTCTTCAAACAAGGCCTCTGTCTATAATATTGCTCCAGTGAAAAACTTGTCTCATCTGAGTCTGGGGAGAAATATGCACAGATCAAAGACAATTTACAAGCAAAAACTTGTCTAAACAAATCTGTTAGTGGATTTTATGTGAGAGGACAACAAGGGATGGATGTTATTGTGGATTATGGACTCATATTTTGATCAGAAGAGAGTTTAAAGCTAAAACATCTTCGATTTCGTAACACTCAGTTTTTCACTTCACAAGATTCGTGATTAATTGATGAACTCGAGTCATGTGGATTACTTGTGGATTATTGTAATGTTTTTTATCAGCTGTTTGGTCTCTCATTCTGACGGCACCCATTCACTGCAGAGGATCCATTGGTGAGCAAGTGATGAAATTCTAAATTTATCCAAATCTGTTCTGATGAAGAAGCAAACTCATCTACACTTCTAAATTTAGAGCAAATGTTAATTTTTGGGCAAACTATTAATTTAAACCTACATTAGATCAAGACTGAGTTTGATGTTGGATAATTTTTTTTTTTTTTTGTAAAAAAGTGCACTTTAAGTTTAGGATGAACTTTATGGAATGGCAACTGCGAGCCATTAGTACCAGATCTGATGCTCAAACTGAAATCTAGACAGAAAGCCTTCCCAGCAGAGTAGAAGCTGTTATCGTTACAATTTTGAACTTAAATGTTCAGCAAGCACATATGGGTGTGGTGTTCATGTGTTCAAATATTTTTGGCCATGTGGTGTATATCCGGAGGATTTGTGCTGAAATTAGCTGCCTGTTAAAAATTGTCAGACTTCCAACACCTCATCTGGCCCATAGTGAGGTGGTAAGAGAATTGCATCGCCAGGCCAAACCTAGTGGACCGTGGACACCAATTACATTGACCTTAAATTGCCACACCGTCTAATTCCACCTCTGGTGAACCCAGGGAGGGGAAGTGTTCACGGATCACTGCTAGACCCTACACAAACCAATCAAATGAGTTTACATAGCTAGGAACATCATTGAAAGTGGGAAATGAGGTCGCACTTGTGCACAGGTGATATGATGGAGCAGAAATGCATGACTGCGTCATCTCATTAGTATTCTAAGGTATTTGTCTGTAGAGTTAAAAAAGCACAATTACATTTTCATATGTTTGGACAGACACTGAACGTGCAATATTATCATATTAACAGCGTTTAAATGTTTACAAATCCTTTAAGATTGATAGAATATATTGTTATGAAATTAAGCAATTTATTTTATTGTATCTATAGTATATGAGATTATTTAAATATAAAAAAATTTTATAGCACAGTCAAAAATCAATAAAGGAACATAATGTTATACTGCAAAACCACTTATATTTCATATGTGTACTAATAAGAGGACTCTGTATATGCTGTGTGCAGGGGGACTATTGATGACATCTATATTGGAACAAAGAAAAGCAAAAATGTCTTTTACAAAGGCTTTCAGCATTTCCACACAAAAGAAGGATTCAGTCTCCACATGTTCAGTTTTGTTTGTGTGTGTGACTCTTCTATTATGTGTCTTTAAAAAGTGCTTTGCCTTGAAATATAAGCACATAAAAATGTAATTATAGAGAAACATCAGTTTCAGATCTAATAGAAAACAAAAGGGCAAAAATTAATTACAAATTATGCACTGTCAGAAAAATTTGAAGAAAAAAAAACTACACATTTGTGCTTCAATTTACCCCTATGGTTTGTGCAATAGTGATAAAAAAAATTTCAGCTATTCTTTTTGAAAGTTATTTTGTTACACCGGTATATGGCAACAAGTGTCCCATCTTTATGAGTGAGTACATAATTCAGAAGATCCATTCAACAGCACTGATTTATTTAAAAACTTTAAGTGAGTCATTTAATCATTCACTCAACCGATTCGTTCAAAACCGCTGAATCATTAAAGGAATAGGTCACCTAAAAATTTCTTACAAATTTCCAGGTTTCCTCCATCTAATGCAAGTGAATGGTGCTCAACGTAGACCATTTATGACAATTGTTAACAATAATCTAATACACCTACATCTCACGTGACCTATTGTTGGCCAGGTTGTGTGGATTACTCTGAAGCTGCTTAAATATGTATTTCGACTGTCAAAAATGGGCTGCCATTCATTTACATTAGATGGGGAAAAATCCTGGAAGGTTATCCTCCAAAAAGAAACACTATACATCTGGGGTTAAGTAAGCAGGATATACTGTATATATATATATATATATATACATATATACATATATATATACTCTTGCTTCTTGAATAGTATCCTATTCTTGAGCTCTCCATCTTATCCTTGGAAAACCCATTGACCGTTCAAGGGCAGTGTGTGGTGTCCTGGTGTTACAGTGACACCTCGCTCCGTCGGGAAAGTGCAGTGTTCCCCTGAGGCTTTGTGTTGATAGAACACCCTGCAGCTCCATCTGTGAGTGCATTGTCTACCCTGAGAGGATCAGACAGCACATTTTTCACGAAATCTATCATGAAGCACTAACCCCTTACCAGAATCCATTGCATGCCTGGACGTCATTAGAGCATGAGATAACATAGTGATGGACAGAGATGGTGTGAGAGAGATGCCACGTTTAGACTGTGAAGACAAATGACTTCTGTTGTGTTCTCTTTATTGCATTCACCAAACAGACCTGTATGTCAGAAGATTCATTTAAATCCTCAATTTGGACAAGAAAGCAGTTGTTCAAGCAATCAATATGCACATTTGCAATTTAAACTGAGGATGGGAGGACTTGCATTCCTTAACATTTGAAGAAAAAGGAGGGAAGAGAAATTCAGGATTTTTGTAGGCTAAAAGTGTATTTTTAGCTAGCAGGATCAAAGCCATGCAAAATTCTGACTCGGAGCACACATGTTTATCCTGTTTTCATACTTGTGGATCGTAGTTGAGATTACATGTTGAAGGTCTCTTTGAAGAAGATTTTGGTCTGTTCTCAGATCATGAGGAGCAGTTGAAGTGCTGCTATATGCCTGTTTCCTGTGAATTACTCTGACAGGATGTCTGTGTGTCTCATGTGGCCTCTTGCTTTTTAACTGTATGCTCAGTGTTTTACCCAGGGTGACCTGCGCTCCTCTTTCTGTTATGTAACAGATTTGAGTGCATCTGACTTATGCTTGAGTGGTTGAGACATGACTGAGATAACGATAGACAGTCTTATTTTATATAAAATGTATACTTGCTTTTAGTGGGTTTAAGTTTTATTAGAGCTATAAGTAGTGCTGGGCGGTATGACCAAAAATTTATATCACAGTATTTTTCAAAATTATTTCCAAAATTGTTTCATGGTACATGACGGTATTTTTTTTTTCATGCATCACTGGGTGTTAACCATATTTTCTACTGATTGAGAGAGGAAATACTGCAGTATATTGACTTAGAATGCCCTATTTTACTGTCATGATGAGTAAACGTTGTTTAAGCGACATACTATTGCGGTATTTTAAAAATTCATATCATAACAAAAATAAACACCGGTATTCGGTATGAACCGGTATACCGCCCAGCACTAGCTATAAGCATAATTTCTTGTCAGATGCAAATGGAAGTAAGCAAAGCTTGCATCAGTATATTCATCTACGTTTGCAGTGCACATTTGTGAGATACT